ACATACACAATAAGTTCAAATAGAAGCATATGTCATACTATTTTGTTATATTGATGTCAACCATTTAATTTAAGCTGTTTGCCAAGTAAAAACCTTAAGCGATTCAAGAATTTCGAAAGAGTTAGTTTTTAAGTATTATGAAATTGTCAATCATGAAACAAATAACCTATTTGTCTCAATACCTACTTCGTTATATACATTGAAATACAATCTAATCACACATCACAATAGTTGCGTGMTCAAGGTAATTTTAAATTRAATTTATAAATGTGTGATTACGAAAATACTTAACATTTAAATAAAATAAAAAAAAACTTACCAGAACAAGAAGAACTGAAAACGAGGTATTCGTTATTTGATGACCACGACGCTTTCACGAATCGTTTACGTATTGCTTATCATGTTTTAACGTGATCGTTATTATTATCACTAATGTGGAGGTTTGAACAGATAATAGAAACGAAAAGTATCTTTTTGAATTGGTCGATGCTGCGTTCAAAACGGTGAGAACTTCATTCTGAAATTAAAAAACAAAAACACCAAGATAAATACTATCATGTCAAAATATTTTGTTATCGATACGAAACCGTCTGCAATCTGCATCTACCTCCATCGAAAAGCAAAATATTGGAATTTGGAATATTGAACTGTAAGATTAACATTAAAACTCTTGTTATGAACAACTGGAGGCAGCGGTACCTTCGGAATATTAACAAAAGGAAGCCTTATTATCTGGAGACAACGAGTGCTAGCTGTTTAATACAGCATCCCCCAATACACAGTCGTCCCTCAGGTGGTAATAACACAATTTATACGTTTTATAGGTTTTAAAAGTCTTATACGTTTTACGTTTTAATACGTAAAACGTTCATATACACGTCATACAGTCGTGTATCAGCGAGTCAGCAGAATAGTCGGGTGGGAAATCTTCTGTTTACACGCTCGACGAAATCCACTGTCTCAGCATTATTGAAGCACACTTGGAGGCGCTCRAATAATTCAGGGAGGACATCGTACTCTCTTCTAYGGCTCACTTGCATTACACCATAAGAGACRCTAAGTAGTCGCGACATCAACAAAAACGAACTGATCAACAACAATTCTGTCGCRGAGCATATACAGGACATCACTGGAACACTCTCCGTCACAATTCAAATTAACCAACAAGCAACAATGTATTCAATCGTCAAAAGATGCAAGAATCGTTTAAATTAGCAAGAAATTATATTATAGACAAAAAACAGAAGACTAAAGAACAATATGATAAGAAAATACACGAAATTATAGTTAAAATAGGAGACATGGTTCTATTAAAGGACCATACCCATAAAGGGAAATTCAACCCAAAATGGCTAGGTCCCTTCGCMATAACAAATATACATGTCACATGATAACGAAAATGTTTCGATTAAAAATGGACAGAAAGAAATAAAAGTCCACAAAAATGAATTGAAAATATATAATTCTTAACAGATTTCAAAACAATTATTTCTCTATTCAATTAATTTCTACACATCATAAATAATTCAACTAGTATATCTATATAAATATCAAACAAAAAATAATACCATTATAATGTTTGTTTCAGACAATTTTTATCACTCATACCAAAAGGTCTTACACAGTATGAAGTTAAAAATATTCAACATCCGGTAGGAATTTATTATCAAGCTTTAACAAGTGTAAGATTATCTAACACTCATTGGAATTTACTTACCTATTTGAATACATAGACCTATTAACAGGTTAATAGGTCTATGTTTGAATATAACAAACTATAATGATAATTTCAAGAAAATAAAAGATATTATAAATAAATTTGAAACGGYATGTACATTAGGAAAACAATTAGAAATTCAGGACTTAAAACATATATGTAATTAATATCAATATCAAGTAACTCAATTTTCAACAGAAATAAAAAACAATAAAGAACAAATAATTAAAGTTATTAGTCGTCCGACAACTGATAAATACCGTTCAAGAAGGGGGGCAATAATTTAATAGGAAGAGTTGYAAATGTCTTATTTGGCATTTGTGATGATAGAGATGCAAGTTATTTTTATGATAAAGTTAGAGATTTCAAAGAATCAAAACTCAAAACAACTCAAATATTAGATTCGCAGACACAAATCTATGTTATCTAATGTAAATTCTTCCCTTATAGAGTTAGCAGAAAATCAAGAAAGTTTAACCAAAAAATATAATTACTTGATTGATGAGATTGTAGCAGAAAAAGTAGCAGTAGGAATCCTAAACTTTAAAGTTGCTTTAGAAGAACAGATTGCCTTACTCAATCTTATTCTTATACAATATTCGTTTGAAACAAAAAGCCTAGAAAGCGTGGTAAACGCCGCTATTCACGGATCAATCCATTCTAGCCTATTAGATTCTTCTACTCTGAAAGTACAACTAAAAGAAATTGAATTGCAACTACCAGTMGGAGCAACAATCCCAATTGATTTAGATAGACCAGGGTTAGCAGAACTACTAGGACTAGCATCAATTGGTGTAGTTTACTTAGATGAAATATTAATCTTTATCATAGAGATACTAATTGTAGATAACTATGAATTCATAATATATAAAACAATACCATTACCTAWACAATTACAAAATAATACATATACTGTCATAATTCCAAATGCAGATTATATAGCAGTAGWTAAATCACGATTGTATTACGTAGAAATAAGTACATTACAAATATCAAAATGTAAAAAAACAATTAATCAATTAATATGTGCACATGAACAACAAATTTTCCATGCAAATGGATCTTGTGAAATATCGGTTTTTAGAAGACCAGATGTTATACCTGATTCGTGCATTGTAAAATATGTATAATTTAATGCTAACATTTGGCATAGATTAGAAGGAACTAAATCTTGGTTATTTGTGACTAATTTAGAAAATATTATTATAAAATGTAAAAACATGTCAGAATAAATAGAAATAAGAGTAAATAGTAGTGGAATACTTAGATTAGACATAAATTGTGAGGCTAATACTGATGACGGCACTATTTTGATTCCAAAACGGAAAATTGTATCGAAAATATATAAAGATATTATTCCCAAATTAAGTGATTCCGTAATTTTAGAATTTCRATTAAACATACAAAAAACCACATCAGAAAATCTGTTATCAATGAAAAATTCAAACAAAGTAAAAAATAATTTAATTCAATTAATTGGAACCTCTAAATCTTTGAGTGAACTAAGTACAAAAATCAATGAAGAAATCTCAGACAATAAATTACAAATGTCAATACATTACTTTTATATAATTATAGTAATAACAGTTATCAGTATGAGTCTATTAGTATTAAAATTTGTTTTAGAAATTAAGAAAACATTTAATAAACCTTTAAAACAAATAGAAAACACAGTAACCAAATCAATGACACTAGAAAACCAGACAGAGTCAGCTCATGAAAGTCCCTTGCCCAAGATTGTTTAGGGTTGGACAATGAGCTTTCATTTAACCCTGGGGGTTAACACTGTCTCGACATTCGACGTACAATATAAGACTGTCCCGTACGGGCGAGTCAGTCAATGTTTGTCTGCGTCCGTTAAAGATAGTGTGTAGTAAATTTTGTCTTCAATAAATATTTTGTCTTATATAATTAAACCTATCAGTTTATTATCACATCTCATCTTCCTTTTCGAGAGACTTCCGATTTGATAAACTCAAGATACCTGGTGTCAACAGATTAACCCGGTGAGACCATAACACTCTTGACAAAATATATATTTTGTCATGATTAAACTATAGTGAWTACGCTTTTTAAACTTAAATGGACACCACACAAATATTTGTTTTCTCCGTTTTACAAACATAAAATATAACTAATATAACGTTTACAATTATACGTTCTACTCTATTATTTCTATAATTAGAGTGAATTTACTTATTATACAATTTAAAGGCAAGAATACTATTTAGGACATCTCAAAAGATATTATTGATATTATTATTTTTAAGTAAATTATGTTTGTTTTAAAATGTACAAAAAAAAAAAAAAAACAATTTAAAAGCGATCATAACTTACTTAAAAATAATAATATCAATAAAATCCTCCGAGATGCYCTAAATATTATTCTTGCCTTTAAATTGTATAAGAGGTAAATTCACTCTAATTATAGAAATTATAAAACGTATTATTGAAAACGCAAAATTTGTCATGTTGTACATTTTTAAGACGGAGATAACAAACGTCCATGGCTCYTTTCTTAATTTATTTCTGAGATAAATAATTATGTTGCTTAAAGTTTGAATGTCCTGATGCACTCTCTACATAATAATATAATATGTATACAATTTAAAGATAATAAATATCTATGAAATTCTTTATTTTCTTTATTATATAGTATTTTATATTTGTATAGCCACTCATGTTGCTCATGAAAAATTGTCTTGATTACGAGCAATCTAACAAGCTCTTTCTCAATTAGGACTACTTTTATTTTTTAATAATAAATTAAAATCACTAAAATAAACATAAGTAATGATCTTAACTAAACAAAATTAGTCGAGATAACCTGGAAATATCTAAAGTTATTTAGGCAGGAACAAATTTTATAACAGTATTATTATTTATAACAAATCTGCTTAATTGGGACACCACATAAAGGGAACAACCAGAGGATGTTAATGGCATTCCCAAATGAATGAATTATTACCTATTATATGTATAATTATTTGGTTAATTGGTACAGTTAGATAATGGGAACAAGTAGATCACCGCTTGATGGGTCTCAATCAAATTGATTTGACCGTATACTTATTATATTCCTGTACAGTAAATAAATTAAAATACAAACATAATACAGATTCTTAAATGAAATTATTTGCAATAATTTTGTTCTTAAAGAAGATTCTCACATATTGAACTTATTTTKATAATAGTTGTATATTATTAAATATAGAAATGTTTTTCTAATTATTATTTAACTATAATATTAATAGTTACATTGGTGATAATGTATTACTRTAAAACAGTAAGTATAAAAAACGACTCCTGTAGTTCTGTCAATAGGTATATTAAAATTTGAAGTTAAAGTCAAAACCTTGTTTAAATTTATAAGTGCAGGAGAATAATATCATATTTAAATATTAAAATCATGTTATTACCTTCTTCCAGGTATTTGGTGGATTCTCAAGATGGTGTATTCAAGAATTTGATCAATTACACTATACATTATAATTTTATGTCAAATATGCATACAATGTAATGCCTACAAACAATCTAAAATTGTGTATTAAATGCCTTATCTCACTCTCATCTGTCTTTAGGTTATACTGTWGCAGTTTAAGATGATGTAATACTTCAAAATACACAAATTTAAATAATGGACATTTATTGATTATTGCTTGTCATAAGGGATCCAGTTGTTGCTCGCAGGATTCGGTATTGGGAGGTTGTTACTGAGATGAATGGTGCTCATGCACTATCTTAAGGAAGACACTGTTGTATTGACAGGGAAGTGGAAGGTAATAGTATATACTATATAGTATAGTGGAAGTATACAAATCCATGCCGTGGGGAGCCCTAGGTGGTATACGCACCGGGCGCATGGTTTTAAAAAGGTGCTAAAATTTGTTTTTATAATATTTCAAGCTTTAAGAGGGTGAATATTTTTAATTTTKCCCTGGGCGCCAAATCTTAACGGCACGGCTCTGGAATTATAGGTACATTATGATTTTCTTAATTTGTTATTGTGCAAAATAGATTGTCTTTTTTTGTCTGTGACAATGGTTTTACTAGAGATCTCTGATTTCTATTTGCAACAGACTGACCATTATTTATAAGTTTGTTATATTTTAGTTTATTTGTTATAATGATGTGTTATGTTATATCATGTCATTACATTATTCTTGGCTAGGGGATAGGCGCATTCCTAGGCGACCCTTATATATTTTTTATAAACAAAAAAATGAACATTYTTGTACATATAATAATAATTATGTRACGGACTTTATTGCTAAAAAAAATAAGAAACATGTTCTAAAAAATATGAGTTAATGCTTTAAAAAAATGTTATAATATCAAAAAATGCACTAAAAAAAAAATATTTGTTTGCTCATATGCATAGTAATACGGGGTGCCGGATAGTAGGGTAAGATATTTAGCTTTATAGATTATTGTATATTATTGGCAAGATAGGCTACATCATTGCGATATTTTTTAAACATTTTTCTGGTAATTAGTTTTATTAATTTGTATGACTAATGAAGAGAYAAAATTATAAGATTGTAAATTAAAATACCAAATTAGATATATTATACATGAGTATGTACTTTTTGTGTCACATTTATTTTGTAACTTGAAAAAAAAACATTATTTTAACTCAATGTTTACATTCATCATACATTTTATACATTTKCACAATATGTATATGTATATTAATACATTTCAGTAACAATTATAGCTCATAATTATTAGAGCTTGCAAGTTGATAAATTCCCATTTTTTTTTCAGGTGATGTTTTCTTTGCTGAAAATGTGTTTCAACAGCATACAAATCTTAACAACTAATTTTTTTTACATTTTTCTGCCTTTTCTGACTTTTTTTTACATCTAATTTTTTGACATTTTTAATAATTCCCTATTAATTTTAGAAGTTAAGCTTTAAGTAAGTGCTTTTCTGAAGATTTCAGTTAGGATTTACCTCATTTAAAATTTTTCACAATCACATCAGTGGACATGTAGAGAATTTTTTCTAAATAAAAATATTTATAAGATAATCGCTGTTCATTCAATTTTGAGTTTTGACATCATCAAATATGCTCTAACAGTACAATGGAATAATTTTGAACAATTTAATAAMTTATATTATTTATATTTTATAATACACTTAGTAAAAAAAATTCATTAACTTTTGACCATCATTTGTAATTTTTAAGGTCATTTTGATGTCATATTTACATTTTAAATTGTTTTAAGATCATCAACAGACGTTATTTTATTTTATTTTATTTATATACGTTATTTACATTATTATAATCAACATATTCTGACCCTACTCATATTAGTCATATTACACTAATATATTGTACTTAAAAACATTAACTATGCATATGATTTTATTTATAGTTTTGGTTAATGATATTATAATTTAATATAACCCATAATATTAATTCATTTAAGCAGTGTCGTGTTAAGGTGTATTGTCACCAGGCGTACACATATTTTGTTGACACTTATAACCCTCACCTCATCACAATACTGATTATTACAAAAAAAAGAAATAAAGTTAGTAGTAGATAAAATATATACCYATATACCTTATATAACTGTATGAAGAACAAGGTAAAGAAAATATCTGATCTATAGAGTATTGAGATTATGAATGACACTTCAACATACATTTTATTACCAGAAAATGAAACCAATGGTTTCACCACTCCAGATTTATATTTATTTTCAAACGCATCACAAAAAATGGCATATTTTAAAATTAACAACAAACTACAGSTAGTAGGTGTGAGTTAGGTATTCTCTAGTTTTATTATTAAGCAAATCAGTTTGAACATCTTGAGGCTTAAAATAATTTTCACAAATCTTGTATTAAGATTTTAATATAAAATCTAATTCTTCACTCCAAACTTTACTTAGATCTAAATCTTTAGGTACACTAAAATTAATTTCCATTTAAATTCTCAAAATTTAACATAATAACTCATTTTTGTTATAAAGAAAATAACTTTGGATTAAAAAAAATAAGAAATCTACAACAGTTCTACGACCATTAATTAATGAAAGTTGTTACCTACTAATATTATGATATCAAGTGTTATTAAATGTACTTTGCAACAGCTGATCCGGCAAAACAATTTGGGTTTCAGAAAAATAGTTGTTACTTGTTTATATTGGTTGTTGGGTATTTAGTGAATTTTAATTCGAGGAAAGTACCTATGACGATGTACTGTTAATATAAAAATATAACAGGTATGTATCTAATAATATGTACGGTATAAATTCCTCAATTTTAAAATATGTAGCCATGTAAGTTTACATAATGTACGATATAGTAATATTGATATATGATTTTTATTAATTCGATATAATTTATAATATTAATATAGGTAGGTAAGCGGTAACTTACCTATCTATAATATTAATTACATATTTATTAATAAAATCGCAAATTACAGTTTGCTACTGAACACGGGAGACACATTCCACATCCCTAGGTTGTCATAGCCAGTTAAATTTTGAGTTTCAAGTGTGACATCCTCACAGGGTAACTTGTTTGATGACGTGGCGGTCGTAAGGCTGGTTCGCGCGGCCATTATCATCGCCGGCTTGTCCATTGTCTCGCTCACCGTGCTCACCGCGTTATCCCTGGTCTGCACAAAAATAAAACAAATACATGACCTTTAGAATCAACTAAATGTATATATTGGAATGTAATTCATCGAGGCAAAACATGTAGCATTTAAAATTAAAAAAAATAAATTTGACAATTTGAAATATTATATTTAAACATAGTTTAGGGATGTAAACAAGTATAAGGATTAAGGAATCGATCAAATATTTAACAATATATTATCATCAAGAAATATTTTTTATTCGAGCTGGTGTTATTGCTAGACTGAAATTAGTTTTGTATCATTAGCTAGGTAATTATTATGTTTAAGAGTTTAGGTGAATATGACGCCGTCTCCCGATACGCGTTTAAAACCTATTAAGCTTAATTAATACTAAAAACATTTCAAAATAACCATTAACTATACATTTGATGAATCTAATGCAAGAATGAAAAAAATTGGTGTATAATAATATATAATCCTGTGTGAGATTCATAATAAATTATATCATCTATAAAAATAAATTAATAATATAAAAAAATATAAAATAATGAACATTATTCAAGAATACTTTTTTTTAGGTTATTTAATTAATTATCTGTAATRCATTATTTCCAATTTATCTAAATAAGATAAAAAATACAAATTTTTGTAGCTACCTATTTAACTAGATAAAACACAACATTGTATAGGTACTATCAAAGAAATAAACTCTACAGAGATATTTTTATTGCGAATTTGTCTTACTTCTAGTCTTATACTCTTGTCTCTTATACCTAGGTATATATTTATTTCGTATTCGTATCGGCACAGACTATATAGTCTGTGGTACCTGTAAGTACTATAAGTACACCAATATACACTCTGTCTTGACTCTTGAATAAAAACGACTTCGAACGTAGACCGATTTTTCTCAGTGAAGAAAATCTCGGTTCGGGCAGACAATACCACGATTTAATCGGCTTTTATTTTTAACAATATCTACCGCGCCCTAAAATTTGCTTCACCAAAATGAAAGCYAGGTGTTTATAAAAATTATTAAATAACACTACCTACTCTCGAGAGTGTAGTACTCGTTGACGATGTTACGACCGTATAAATTATCTACTCTTATTTGAGACAGATTAGCTATATTTTAACTTAATTTTTATAAGCTAAAATAGCATATAATATAGATAGAGGTATGTTATGTTTTTACCTTTGAAACAGTCAACTTGTTTTTTAAATTTGTATTTTTGCCTTCGTTCTCAATCTTCCGCACTAATCTCTTGCGATTCCATATAAGCACCGCTAGGATAGATAATAAGGCGAGTGCAATGGCTATCACAAATACAGTAGATACCATCATGAATGTCATGAGCTCTTCTTGAAATAAACCTGAACGTGGCGTRAAAAYGAATTTTATTTGGTATCGAAAATTCTACAAAACTAACTATTAAATAAGTATAGATTTATTAAATTCGGTAGTCGCTTACCTTGAATATCACTAGCTTTGATATAATGCTTAATGAAGTCATGTATGTAATCTGTAAATAAAAAAAAAAATATAACAATAAATTAATGTGTTCGTTGGTCAAATAGTTATTAAATCACATTTTCCCATTTGCATCATTTTACTTTAAAACGCRACGCAATTGCGTATCAAAAAATATCCAATTTGTTCGTTTTTTTGTGCGGTTGTAAACCATCCTGATTTTTTTAATGACCTGTCTATTCTAGTATTACCTGACACCTGACGGGTACATGAAATCTAACGGTCAGTGTCTAATAAAAATTTAAAAAATTGTTCATGTAAATACAGTGTAGAAGCCAGGGTCTAATAATAGAAACACTAATAAAGTAATAATTGATATAATCGTGTTATTGAAACAAAATGTTAAAATAGTTTACATTCTGTATTTTTGTTTATTGCGTCTGTTATTCGTTATTTAGTAATTAGTTTTAAAAGTTTATGAAACTCTTAATGTTTTGGTTTTTGGAAATWGGTACATTATGAATTAATATAACATGCCTTCTAATAGTTGTAGGTATATATTATAATTCATCGAGAAAACGATCTTGAACATTAACAGTTCGTWGAATCACAGTGAAAATATTTCATGACGTGTACAATAGATATAGTTGAACACGTAGTACACCATTTAAAAGCGAATAAAAGTAATAGTGAAATAACACAAAACAAATTCCGAAAACATTGAAAAAATAGTTTCAAGTTTATTATTTAGAGGATGTTAGTGAAATATTCGATTTCTCTCAGATTTATGTGCAACATAGATGAAATCCTTTTAGCTTATATCGTATTTTATGCTTTTTGAGTAACCTTAGATTAAAATCACCAATGACAAAAACCATAGAGGATAATATTTTTAGGGTAGACATACCTATCGGTTTTATATTTTCTTATTATTTGACTTTGTATTGAATTTTCAAAATAAAAAATTAACTTTTGTAAATTTAAATAACGTTTAAACTGTTTACAGACAATATTTAGACAAATAGGTAGGTACGTCATTTCCTCTAAAATATTATTCTATAACGATTTTGTAATTGGTAATTTCATTCTTAGATTATTTAAWAACATAAAAACAAAAATGATTCTGAGTAAATATATTTTGTCTATACAGAGCGAAGACCAGAGAAAGAAAACAAACATTACGCTGATATCCTCTTAGTATTATTACATTACATTTTTTCAGTACATATCACTTTGAACGTTAATATTTTCTCATTAATTAATTGCAAAAATACTAAATTTGAATTAAATTTAATAATTATTTTAGTTTTTATACTTTTATATAATATGTACCTAATTTATCAATAATTTTAATTTCACCACCCAAATCTGTGAGTACCTAAAAAACTAACTTGACAACAATTCTAATGTAATTTCTGAAAATCGAGAATGTAATTTATTTTCGTTATCTAAGCATACGTCTCTTTGTCCTCTGATATAATCGACCTAACAACTATATACATCGGCAGGTAAAATATACTGGCTATAGAAATATAATTCCTTTCAGATTGTCCCACAAATCGTATTCAAAGGTAGTACGAAACAAATAACGAAGCTCTAACAAAGAACCACCAACAAATTTATCTTTGCCACCATAAAATATATTAGAATAAAATAAGTATATAGTTATATAAATTTTGCAATACCTACTGCATAATATAATATTTTTGGGTTTTGTTAACATAATGTATTACCCATATATCCACTCACCCCACCACGATATAATAACATGTTGTCGACCAAACAGGTAGGTAGACATAGTTAGGGATCGGCGCGACGGCGCCATTGAAACCGGTTTGTGAACAGAATAATGCATGTCGATCGATTTATTGATTAAGGCTTAAGTAAAAATATGAAAACTTTATATTTTTCTAACGGTATATGAACGTTATATTATTGCAATATTATAATTATATAGTACCTACTCTGGGGAATTTAGACTAGTAAAGGTAAATTCATTAGAAAAATTAATATCTGTAGAACCATAGTATCTGTTGAAAATAGAGTTTTAATTTTTGTTTTTTTGCCAAGTAAAAAAAAAATAGTACCTAAAAAGGAAAAAATAGTATGGGAGTTGGGACTGTTGGGAGTTCTCCCAWGCGCGTCCTTCATTCTTACACGGTTGTGTATATTTAGTAAAAATATTTAGTATAAATTATTATATTTAGTAAAAACATTATATCGCGACTATGTATAAGGTATAACATTTTATATATTATATACCATAATATCATCCAATTAAATGTAGAGAGCATAATTAATAATTATTGCTCTAGTTCTCGATTTATATGCACTAAAATTATTTAAATATGCTAGGTATAATTATTAATAAGCCCCGATAATAAAATTCATACACAGCATTATCAGATTACAGTGTTTATACGGTGTATAGAGTGTACACATGTATTATTTAAAACGCCTGTACCTATTCGCATCAGYCATATTCGAAAATTGTTAAGGAAAAGWAATTTATTCACTGTGATGTAGCCGATGTAGGTGTTATAACTTCAAAATCATAAAAAACACGTAGATAAATTAACACATTCCTGAGCTTTAAACACTTATGGTGATATTAACGTACCTTGGCACTGTTGCTCGCATCTATTAGGGTCGAAGTTATGCGATGTCTGGTTGCAGTACGAATGACATGGGTAGCACTGGAGATCATGGATCTCGCATAGATGGTACTCAGGGCACTCAAGCTCACCGCACATCTTTCTCATTGTCAAACCAACCGACTGATGCATAATGTTGATGATTGAAATATATAAGGTCCTAAATATGATAAAAACAAATGTATTAGGYTCGTTTGTATATTTATCGTACCTATAATAATAATATTGACATTGTGACTCACCAAACTTACGAATATAAATGAAGGTGACAACAGAGGTAACCTATCTTCGCGTCGTATGAACTCCGTTTAAGTATAGTATTATAGGTTATATGAGTGGCGGTGGCAACAGCAGTGTAGCAGTTGAAGGAAAATGTGTATATACACAACGTTAGTTATACTCAGTCAGCACAACTCTGCTGGACAATAAACGTATCACGATTAAAGAAATTTCAGTTGCACATAGGTCTATACCAAAATGATTCGATCAAGGTCGTAGTGCACCGCCCACTGTCACAACCACCACCATTTACTTTCTGCGTCACTGGTGCCATCGGAATTTTCGTCGGGTGAAACTATAATATTGTGGTTCGTGACACCTGTAACTTCTAAAAGCCGGTTTCTGTGTGGTGGTTTACGATGATTGTTAAACTGATCCGATTCACGTAGTTGTGCAATCATTAGGAGAGGATGGGCGAGAGTCCTAATTCCTCCCCAAAATCTCAATTATTGTTCACCCTATAATTCGGCTGCCAGCATGTTATATCTTATATTAGAAAATAATTTCTGCGGTGGTCACATTGTTTATATATATATATATATATATATAATTTCGCTACTGGATCCATGTCTTTTTTCTTAATTTTTTTGTTGATCAACCATGAAACCGTCATGTATTTTCTTTAGAAAGGAATATTTATTGATTCTACTAACTTATTTAAAAATTGTTAACGTGAAATATAAATTAAAAATCTAGCTATCATGCTATAATTATATGGTCTACTGTGCTTCCATCCCATTCAGCATCACACAATGGCCACAACAACACAGACGCGCAGCGGAAAAATATTATTCACATATTATATCTAATATAAATATCAACATTCCGGCCAATGGTCGATGATATATTATTATATAAATATATATATATATATATTAATTTCTTAGTTTAAGAATTAATTATATTTTTCCACACCCTATGAATTACTTGTTTATTGTTTAGAGAATGTTGGCATAACTCCATCTAGTTCATCTGTCGATCACAATATGTAGGTAGAATATAAAATTATTATTTTACCAACCGTCAAAAACTTACGATATTTAGGGAAATCTCAATTTTGGTAGTTGGTTGGCTGATGGAACTTTTAAATCTTGCCCTGGACTTTTAAACAAATTTACACGATACATCGAAATATTAAAAAATAAATGGAACTATTTGCGTACCTTTAGTTTAATGGCCAAGCAAACAGAAAATGAGCACTGAACAATGTTTTTTGAATTAAATAATTTTGATTTAGAACATGATAATATAAATGTACCTATTAAAAAAAATATTATCATAGAAATTAGACTTCGAAAAAAAAACAGCTATTAATACGATAAACAATGTATTTCCATTGATTTTTCACCAATATTGTTTTTTTATTTCTTACAAAATATATATCAACATATTAAAAAAGAAGGTTTGGCAACCAAATATATTGAAGATTTTGATTTCAATATTTTTTGCCGCTATTTCCAGCATGGAATTTTTTCCCTATAAAAAAAAAGCATTAATACTAATCATTTATGTTTTTATACTTTTACTTATRTAGAAAACTAGCTGAACCCATGCACTTCGTAGCCCCTTAAAAGTCCTTCCACTTATATAGCTCAAACTGTGTGTTAAATTCGTTTTCTGTGATTATGCTAGCAATACATTTTTATACAAATAGATAGATAACGATTAAAATATATTAAGGAATAATTTTACAACGATATTCAATTTAGTATATCATGGTGTACCGTGTACGAATAAATATTCGTTTTATCTAGAAAAGTGAATAATTGGGTACACAATATTTTGTTTTACTTCCTTCTGRTGCGTACWCACATAAATCAAAAGGTTTTCTGACATCGCCATCATTCACTATTGCATCTTGTAAGTGTATGTACTCTTCCGATCGCAATTGCGCTTGAGTGAATCTAAGGTAATTGAGACGTTTTGATTCAATCTTCGCATACATGTCCACAGCATATTAATGGAATATTTTGCCACACCTTAAAATGAAGTAGTCTTCTTGTGGACGAACCATGAATCTGTATGAGTAATAGTYCATCGCACTAAYTGTCTTGCCTGGTATTTCGCGACTTGTAATAAATACAATGATAAAAAATTTAAATGTCTGATTGTTTTAAAAYGAATACATTTTCAATTCATATAAATATGTTACCGGTTCGTGGATCTATCATTGGTATATTGATATGATAGCCGTCTAAATGGCTACTAATGGATACTGTAATGCATCATAGCTGCAATGAAGATCTAATACACGCTGCAATTGCTCATTTCTTCAGTGTAGCACAATATCGCGAGATAGAAACTGCTATCCAACAATTACAATGGCCACTTCATCAATGGTTGGTGCATTGAAGCGTCTTGCATGCTCTCCAAAAGGCGTTTTGTCGGCTCTTATTACTATCCTATGATTATCGGATRGCATAAGATCAAGAGCGGTTTTGAACAATTGAACTAATCCATTGTGTTGATGGAAAAAAATTTGCAGGTCCAAAATAATTTGACGCCTTGCGCTTGGAGCAATTGCACAACGCCGATGCAATTCATCATTGCTATTCCCAACAAAATAGATTTCCAAAAATTGAGGTTCAGTGTCAGGGAATGGCAATAATGAACCAGMTCTATGATAAATCTGGCCTTGAATCTGTAACATATGAGAAATACAATTTGACGTTGGATCAGAATTCGTGAAGATATCAAAATAATTGCTGGTCAAGTTGCATTTTTCGAAAGATAGTCCGTATGAAATAATTACCTTGAACGTTGGCATAAAACTGTCTCTTATAACTTTCGACGCACCAAAAAAAGTCATTTGAAATGGCGTATTATATTCTTGAATGTGGGACAAAAAATGCTTTGACGTTGGTGATGTTCCAAAAATCAATGAGTGCATTGGATCATTCGAATGCTGTCAATTTCACTTTGCCATTAGCACAACACATGCCAGCCGTTTCACCTGGAAATTTGGCTGCAGCAAAATGTAGACATCTCACCGTTATTCCACTAATAAGACCATGTTCACTGTAATCCATTTCACTGTCGTAATGAAATGCAGCAAATTCCATTGCTTGTGCACGACGCGAAATTCGTGACGTTTGTCTTGATGCTGGATTTGTTGACGGACCTGCAGATGTAGTTCGACGTGCGTTTCGTACTTGTTGAACAACAATTCGTTGTGATAGTGCCTTTTCACTTTCAGATCTCCTATGAGACTGTACGGCGACATAATTACGTGATCGTCGGCCTATGTTCTGTCGGCTTGGGCGTGGCATTTTTAAAAAATGTATGATATGTTTTATACATATTTTAGCTGTACGATATATTTAATCAAAATTCTTCACTCCCATTCATTCGCAAACAAACAAATGAATAATCATAATGGCAGTTTATCCTAAATAAACAACATAAAATAACCCATAGCAAACAAACATTTCCAAAGTCAATTTTGGCCTGTCACCAGGGGTGCACTTAAGAGGCCATAACTCCGGAACCACTTATCGCACAGCGAAACGACTTTTCAAACTTCACAGCAACCATCTATACATATCAATCTTAATATTCCCTGATATTTTTATCCAAATCGGTTCGGTAGATCTTGAGTTATAAAATTACTTCAAAAAATGTACATTAATTTTTATATATAAAGAATGTTTTATTATATATTATTATTGTATCATGTGCTAGTTCACTATAAGATTCTGAACGAAGTGATGAATGTATTGATTTTACAATTATGTGTGTTTTTTTTTTTGTGT